AAAAAAAAAAAAAGTAGTTATTTGTATATATATATATATATATATATATCAACAGAAAGCTCGAATCACAAAGATTTTAAAGACACCTATATTGCCTTGGTAAAATACAAGTCTTTTTGAGAAATCTACTATCAAAATTTAGGCGTTTATAAATCAGAGGTCTTTTTAGTTATTTTTGCTTTTCGGTTGATAGAAGGCAGAAAATACTTTTTGAACAGCTAAGATTTTCTTTTTTTGAAACATAGGAATATTCCAACCCATGAATCATTATATCATATCTTAATACAAGTCTCTTTTGACGGCTATGCCGCCTATGCCCTTATTTAGTGCATGTGCTACCCACTGATAACAAACATAAATGTTAAAAATTTTCTACAGTAGCTTGTTCACACATTATCAAACTTCAGATTACCGTATTATTCAAAGAAGAAAAGTTCATTTTGTTACCCTAAGCTAGTGTGGTGCCAAAAAGAGAAAAGTTTGAAGTGCGGAAGATTTGCCTGAGATGTACTTGTAGTATGAAAATAAGGTGAAGATAGCACTAATTAACAAATTGTTGAAAACCTATATTATACTCCTAATTAAAAGATGCATATACTCTTTCTTTTTCCATCAATTAATCTCTAATGAAAATACTAATTACCTGAGTGGGTAAAATAAAAACTAGTCACATATAACATATCAACAGAAAGCTCTAATCACAAGGATTTTAAGGACACCCATATTGCCTAGGTAAAACACAACCCTTTGTGAGAAATCTACAATCAAAATTTTGGCCTCTGCAAATCAAAGGTCTTTTCCGTTATTTTAGCTTTTCGGTTGTGAGGGGATAGAAGTGTTTCTTAGAATCTATCTCCGCCCTATTAAGAATCACTCTATTTCTCAAGCCCCCAAAATGCCACATGACTGAGATGAACAAAAAGGACCAAAAAATTTGCATTCTGTCATCATACCACCCCTGAGTAAGTTGTCAAAAAATCTCTTTCACACTACTTCAAATTGCAGTGTGAATGCCCCACCAAGCTAAAATCTTCATCCACATTGTAGGTAAATGAGCATTGCACAAATACATGATCTACTCCATCAAAATTAAAGTAACTGTTACATTAGAAATCATAATTATATAAATTATGCATATCAATTTTATATTCTAAAATAATTTATATAAATATTTTTTATACAACATTTTATTTAAAAATATAAATTTATTTTTTAATTAACCTTTTATATATTTTTATTAATATTTTCATACAAGAAAATGTCATCAATATTAGCAGCACACTTCTTCTATCTACTTCTCTTGTTAATCTGTTTAAACTTGCTAGTCAACAAATAAATTTATACTTAGGAATTTCATGTGAGAATCAAACCAACTCCTGATATGACACTTTCAGAAAGAGACTGTCCAACTAACTAAGTCTTTCTTTTCTCTTCACTTTTGGAACATAGTGTATCAAATAAATCCATCTGGATTTGTGCAAGCTGGAGAGAACGAGCAAAGGCCAATATCAAAATTTCCCATTTGCTACTTTGACACTTTACCAAATAACTATGGACCAGAATTTAGTACAATCTTAACACCATATATAAGCATTTGTAGACCTGAATGAAGCCAGCGCTCATGCCAAAAGAAGATATCAGTGCGATCACCGCACATTGCTCGAAATATTAACTCAAAACGAAAAAAAGTTACACGGAACACGAGAAATTACCTCAGAAATATAGTATACTACTACTGTACATGCCACATCATATGGATTCCCTTAGGGATTTCCCATATATATGTAAGGCCTTTATTCAAAGAAATATAGTGTCTTGGTCAAATTAACTCAAAATTAGTAACCAGACCTTCAGGTAAATGTTCATTTTCAAACCTTAATATTTAGATTTAATTGATTAAGAGTTTGACTTTTATTAATGATTTAAAGAAATCCTTCATTCCCCAAAATTTTCCATGTTAAAAAAAAAAAGGTTTAACTCAAAATGAGAAAAGTTAGAGTTACGGAATGGATTTGCTG